TGAACCATCCATCATTGAGTAAAAATTTAAATTAAAAACTATAATGGTAATCTAATTTGGTGTTGTTACACTTTAAAATGTCGCAATAGTGTTACTAATTGTACTATCTATGACATTTTGGAATGTCTCAACAAATATCATTATTTGTATAATATATGACACTTTTTAATATCCATACAAATATCACTATTTGTATCACCTACAGAATTATGGAATGTCCCATTAAATGTCACTATTCATATCACATATGATGTTGTAAAAAATATCACTATTTGTTTCAACGACGACACATTTGACATGTCACAGTAAATGTCACTATTGGTATCAGCTATGACACTTTGGAATGTTCTGAGAAATGTCACTATTTGTATTTACTATGTCACATTGAAATGTCTTGAGAAATGTCACTATTTGTATTTACTATGACACATTGACATGCCATTAGAAATGTCACTATTGGGATCAACTGTGACATATTGGAATCTCACAAAAAGTGTCACTAATTGTATCACCTTTGATGATTAGGAATGTCTCGAGAAATGTCACTATTTCTATCAATCGTGACATATTAACATGTCCTTAAAAATGTCACTATTGAGATGGGCTATAACATATGGAAATGTCGCGGTAAATGTTACCATTGGTGTCAACCATGACACTTTGGAATTTCCTGAGAAATGTCACAATATATATTTACTATGACACTTTGATATGTCCTTAGAAATGTCACTATTGGGATCTACTGTGACAATTATGAATGTCTCGAGAAATGTCACTATTTGTATCAATCGTGACATATTAACATGTCCTTATAAATGTCACTATTGAGATGGGCTATGACATATTGAAATGTCACAAGACATGTCACTATTGGTATTAACTATAACAGTTTGATATGTCTCTAGAAATGTCACTATTTGCATCACTTACGACGCTTTAAAATGTCACAAAAGATGTTATTATGCTACGCTTATAAGTGTCGCAATATGTAAAATAAACGTCGCACAAAAGTGGTACTGACAATTGTAACAAATATCACAAAAGAAGTTAGTGACAATGGATTATGTGACATTTATGTGTCATTTGTGTAAAACGTCAGTACAACACTATTGTGACATTTTTCTACCTTTTAATGACAATTTGACTGAATTTTAAATTGTCACTTCAGCTGTTTTTTTTAGTGATATGTAAACATGATAAGATGGAAGGATGGATTTTTAACTTGGGCTGAGTGATCGAAAGTAAGTATACAAGTTGGGTGATCAACATGCAACTTTCCCGGTCTTCGCACATGCTTTTCAAATTTGTCGCTATACTAAAATGATTGATGGGTCAAATTGCTTGGAATTCCAAAATGGTCTGTCCATTTTGATAACAACTGTGATGGAGATGCAGCCACTACGTCCAACATCAATGATAATAGATGAAATGAAATAATTAGTTGGAAGCCCTTACCCTACCTAGTGGCTTGTTTGTGGCCCATTCCTACTTCCCATACCTACCAAGTACTTCTCGAGAAGACTCTACTATGGTGACCTAATTTAGGACTTATGAGCATGTTGATAATTATTAATAATTAATGAACTACCCTTCATTTCTAGGAGTATGGTAGTAGATGAGGTGAGTCGACAGGTGATTTGACCTAATTTAAGCTCAGATTGTTAATAAATGGGTCGAATTTGGAACTTAGATTGTTTAAAAAAATATAGACTTGTATTTGACTTGAGCTAGAATCGTTAATGAGCTCAAGAGTTTTAATCGAGGTTGGCTCATCAATTAGCTCACGAGATCAGCTCAAGCTCGAGTATCATATCATTTAGTTCATAATTTTAATTCTTCATACCATGTTATTTAATAGTAATTAGTATTTGAGCAATTTATGATACATAATTTCTCTTTTAAATTATAAATGAGACATATTCGACCATTTGCTCAAAGTATTAAACATAATACGTTATGAGATATACTACCTAACAAAACTATGAATTATCAACAAGCAACTATTAATCGATTCTCTCATAAGTTGCTAATTAAGGTGGCTCGATAGCCATACTGTCGAGTTAGCTCATAGCTCAAAACGAACTAGCTCAAGAGTAGGGCTAAAAAAGCCACCGATTCGAGGTCCTCACGAGCTTTGCGAGTGGAACAAAGTTTAGCTCAAACTCTACTCGTTAGTAAAAGAGCCGAGTGTCGAACTAGTTTTCCCTAGCCGAACGTCGAGCCGCTCGTAAGTAGCTTGACTCATTTACAGCCTATCTCGGAGATATGCGGCCTAGGATTTTGAAATTCTTTTAATTTCAAGTTCATGAGCTTCCACATATTTGGAGAAAAAAAAACCCAGGTTTGAGGTCAAATTGGACAAATCATTCACTTATACATATTGCTCTTGAATTTGGATCATGATTTTGAAACACAAATTACGCTCATCATGGATTTATCCAAATCCATTATTTGTTTATAAAAAAAATAGCAACCAAATTCATGAATCCCGTATATTAAATATTTTTTGTTCCAAATTTGTAGACCTCACCATGAATTGAAAAATTCTAACTATTGAGGTAAGATTTGTCACAAGCAACACTACACAAAAAAAAGGGTTTTACGTGCTACTATGGATAGTCCTTCAAACAACCTTAAAAACCCCACTAAACTCTACACTGTGTTTAATGGCCGAGATCACATGGAGACAGTCACGACACTTTGTGACCATTTATAAAAACGGTTATTATGTTACCGCTTATTCTTTAAATGAGCGAATCATGATAATTTATTATTAGTTAATCATAAATATCGAATATTAATTATATATTTATATTATGAAAAAGTGCTCCTAATCTCAGCTCCGAAGCCCGCCACTAGGGGTGTCGGTCCGGTTTTGGGTTTTCGGGTTTAACCGAAACCGAACCGAGAATGTGTTGTCGGATTCGGGTTTTCGGTTTCAACCCGAATATGCGGTTTATCGGTTTCGTTGTAACCCGAAACCCAATAAGAACCCGAAAAACCCGATACCGACCTCAGCTCTGCGTTATGCCCTTTCGGGTTTGACAGTTCGACTTCAGTCTTTGAGACTTTCTCATCTCATCTGAAACTCTCAAGCCTTTTAATTTCAAGGCATTGACAGAGGAGTGAGGTGAGTACAGAGGTGGTTTCGCCTCCCACGACTCAGGCGGCGCATCTGAGATTCTGGGTAGCGTCGGCGGTGCATCTGGGATTCTGGGTAAAGTCGTCGGCGCATCTGGTTCCGTTCGAGATCGAAGCTGGGTAACGTCAGGCGGCGCATCTGGGTCTGTTCGAGATCAAAACTTTCCACGTCGGCAACGCAACTGGGTAACATTGGGCGACGGATCTGGTTCCGTTCAGGTCGAAGCTTTCCTCGTCGGCGGCGCATCTGGGTATGTCGTAACGCCGGGCGCCGCATCGAAAGCTTTCTCCGATCTGGTTTGATGGTTTCCCAGATTCAATTCCTCCCCTGGTTTCGTCAATTCCTTTCCTAGCTTCGTCGATCCGAACAATTCTCGTGGTGGTGGGATGGTGGCAGAGGATGCAAAAGCAACAATATAATGAAGCAGGAGGGTGCAGTAGGGGTTGGAACAATTATGGGGGTGAGGATGAGAAGGAATTGAAAAGTAACAAGCAGGTAGGGATGGCAATCAAACCCATGGCCGCGGGTACCCGACCGCCCCCGACCCAGTCAACGCGGGTAATCCCCGCTTTGACCGGGTATGGGGCGGGTATGGGTAAAACCCGCAAAAAGTTTGATGGGTATGGGGCGGGTATGGTCTTAGCCTCCCCCGCCCCATACCCATAGCCATATCCGCCCCACCAAGAGAATTTCTTCACATATACAAAAATATATGGATAAAATTATAATCTATCAATGGTGATGAGGATACCTCGAGGAAATAAATAGTAGAAATGCAATTGAGTGATCACCTTAATAAAAACCTAATTCATTTCTCTCAATTCTCCTTTCACTCTTTCACTTTCCCCCTTGTCAACAAGATTATGTTAGTTAATTATTACTTAGTAGATGTATCAGAGTTAGAACATAATAATTTGAAAAATATTATACACTATATTATGTATTAATGAATGTTTTAGGATCATATTCTTTGAACCGTATTAAGAAAATGAGCGCGTTTTGTTGAATTCGTGATATAATAGGTACGTTTAGAGTTGTAGTTAAAACTTTTCATGTAAATTTTAGGATAATAATGTTGGATGTACGGGTATGGGTATTACCCATGGGTACCCGAAACCCACGGGTATGGGGATGGGTTTGTTAAACATTCACCCGCATGGGTATGGGGCGGGTATGGGTTTGGATATTTGAAGATGGGGATGGGGATGGTTTAGCCAAACCCGCCCCAAACCCGCCCCATGGCCATCCCTACAAGCAGGTGTTGGTGGGAGTGGAGGCGATGAGAAGAAGGAATGGAATTGAAATTGGGGTTTTGGAATTAAGAATGAAACAACAATGTTGCTGGGCGGAGTGTTCAAGGAGGAGGACGTTCGGTTTTCGGGCTCAAGCAAACCGAACCGAAAACGCAGACACAATTAGCGAGTTCGGGTACCAAAACCCGCAAGGCAACATTTTGGGTTCGATTTCGGGTTACATGCAAAGGACAGGTCCGGGTTTTCGGGTTTGTGGGTTTTGGGTTCAGTTACCCGACCCGAACCGAACAGACACCCCTACCCGCCACTATCAGTTTCTAAATCAATAATCTACAAGAGTTGAGCGTCGACCATATCAGTACAGTACCATACTACACAGTTTTCCCACTAGTATGAACACAACCTTCGTCCCACCAATGGACCCAGTTGGCAGTTGTCGATGGCAGCTTTTTTGTCTTTATGAATTAAACAAAGTTCGTTTTCTTCTTCGTATTATTTAACAAATATAGTCTTCTAGGATCACTGTTTTGTCTTATTGAATAACGTACAGAATCTCTTAATCCATAGATGGATCGAACGTATTCTCCCCCCGCTCCACTGTAAACAACTGACCTTCATTTTGCATGTAAACAAAATGTTTTTTCCTCTTTTCACCCGTCTTTAAATTTCAGAAATTCAAAACAAGAAAAACAGAGTAGCCCAAGAAATGAGAATCTTAGCCGACAATGGAACTCCCCCAGTTCCAGATTCATCGATTCCTGAGAATTACGCTTTCGAAATTGGTAAACAAGGTAAATCATAGAAACCCTTCTCAACCTATCCGAAAGTTGTAGCCCCGGCTGAGTTAATTTTTTGATAGAAAGTCAATGCTCTGTTTTTCTGGCTTCTCTCTGTTTTAAAACAGGGGAGGAAGTAGTTGAACAAGAAGAAGAAGTGAACGACAGCCCAATTGAGCAAGTGAGGCTCACGGTTCCGATCACCGACGATCCAACTCAACCCACCATAACTTTCCGGACATGGGTTCTGGGCCTAATCTCTTGTTCCCTTCTCGCTTTCATCAACCAGTTTTTCGGCTACCGGTCCAACCAGCTCTACGTCAGCTCCGTCGCCGCACAAATCGTAGTTCTCCCACTTGGGAAGTTAATGGCTGCCGCAGTTCCCAAAACCGTAATTCGAGTCCCCTTGACGAAATGGTCCTTCTCGCTAAATCCAGGGCCGTTCAATCTGAAAGAGCATGTTCTGATCACCATATTCGCCAACTGTGGAGCCGGGGGAGTTTACGCAGTCGCCATTATCACCGCTGTCAGAGCTTTCTACCACCGTGGAATCCACGCCGCCGCCGCCATGTTACTGGTCCAAACCACTCAGGTAAATGAATTATCGATTCAGAAATCCATTTTCGGGTTTCGGACTATGCAAAGTTCAAATCTTTTGATTTTTTTTTTTTTTCAGATGCTTGGATATGGATGGGCTGGAATGTTCAGAAAATATCTCGTGGATTCACCTTACATGTGGTGGCCTTCAAATCTCGTTCAAGTCTCCCTTTTCAGGTACCTAATTATGGTATCAAAGTTCGACACTTTTTTAGTTTTTTTTTTCTTCTATAATTGAAGTCTAGAGTTTCGAATCTTGATGATACGGGGTATGTGGCAGGGCGTTACATGAGAAGGAGAAGAGACCCAAAGGAGGGCAGAACAGGCTGCAATTCTTCACGATTGTGTTCATATCAAGCTTTGCATACTACGTCGTGCCGAGCTACTTGTTCCCATCGTTATCGACTCTATCGTTCATTTGCTTGATATGGAAGAACTCCATTACTGCACAGCAGATTGGTTCAGGGCTAAAGGGGCTAGGAGTCGGCTCAATCGGCTTTGACTGGTCAACCGTTGCCGGGTTCTTGGGGACACCACTAGCGACGCCATTGTTCGCCATCATCAACACTCTAGCTGGGTTTGCCTTGGTTGTTTATGTGATCGTCCCCATTGCTTACTGGAACAATGCCTTTGAAGCTAAGAAGTTCCCAATCTTCTCACAACACACTTATGACAGTGGTGGTCAGATCTATAACGTAACGCGGGTCCTGAATGAGAAGAGCTTTGGGATTGATCATGCTGCTTATGAGAATTACAGCAGGTTGTATCTCAGTGTTACTTTCGCGTTCGTCTATGGCATGAGCTTCGCTGCACTTATGGCTACCATTTCCCATGTTGCTCTCTTTGATGGGAAGTAAGTATGCCCCCTAAAAACTTTATTCAATGAACTTCCTAATATAGGTCTAATGTAGTCAAAAAAATGTTACTGACCTTGTTGGTATTTTTGGGCAGAACAATTTGGGATATGTGGAAGAAGACAACTGGTGCAATGAAAGATCAGTACACAGATGTCCACACTAGGCTGATGAAGAAGAACTATGAAGCTGTCCCACAATGGTGGTTCATGACTATCTTGGCTATATCTCTGGCCCTTGCATTTGTTGCTGTGGAGGGTTTTAACAAACAGTTGCAGCTCCCTTGGTGGGGACTCCTCTTAGCTTGTGGGATTGCCTTGTTCTTCACCTTGCCAATTGGTATAATTCAGGCCACAACCAATCAGGTAAACTCAGAAATTTACCTTCCAAACAAAAAAGTACTGGAGTTTTGACATTAAAAGCCATAAGCTAAACCAGAACTTGGCTATGGAATTATGCAGCAAATGGGGCTGAATGTAATCACAGAGCTCATCATCGGATACATGTACCCCGGTAGGCCACTGGCGAATGTGGCTTTCAAAACATATGGCTACATCAGCATGGCACAAGCACTTAGCTTTCTTCAAGACTTCAAGTTAGGTCACTACATGAAAATCCCTCCCAAGGTCATGTTCCTAGTCCAGACAGTAGGGACGCTAGTTGCTTCAACGGTCTACTTTGCAACATCGTGGTGGCTTCTCACGGACATCAAAGACATCTGCAACCCGGACTTGCTCCCGAAGGGAAGTCCATGGACCTGCCCTGGAGACGACGTCTTCTACAGCGCTTCGATCATTTGGGGAGTGATAGGACCCCTCAGAATGTTTACCGATAGCGGGAACTACCCTCAAATGAACTGGTTCTTCCTTGTCGGTCTACTTGCTCCGGTGCCCGTGTGGCTATTGTGGAGGAAGTTCCCGGAGAAGAAATGGATAAGGCTGATCCATATGCCCTTGATCTTTGCAGCAACAGCAAATATGCCACCAGCCAAGCCAGTGCACTACTTGACATGGGGCACAGTTGGGATTTTCTTCAACTACTATGTCTACAGAAAGTACAAGGGATGGTGGGCTAGGCATACTTACATTCTGTCAGCTGCAATGGATGCTGGTGTTGCCTTCATGGGGATACTTGTCTACTTCACACTTCAGAATAAGGACATTTACGGCGCAGAATGGTGGGGATTGCAAGCTGATGATCACTGTCCCTTGGCCAAATGCCCTACTGCTCCCGGGATTCAAGTTGATGACTGCCCTCTCATTCATTGAGATCTGTCCATACTTACTGCAGTCTTCAGTTTGTGCTGCATCTTCTGGCTTTGATTGATTCTGTCTGTAAATTAGTTGCCAAGCAACAACAACTTGTCATATTTTCTTAAAGTTGCCTAAGAAAATCAAGGTTTCTTTTCTTTTACTGCAAGTTACCATTATTACCGTCATATCTAATGCTTATACAGAAAGCAACAAACCAAAAGGTGTGGAGTACTGAAATGGAATGACAAAGTCACCATTTCTCTCTACACAAATCAATTACGTTATTCCGTATCTTTTTGGCCTTAACGTTAAGAGTTACCTTTACAGTTCACATTATAAATAGTAAAATAGAATGCAATCACCATACCTTAATGATTCACCTAACTAATAGAAACAGTGTAAAAAAGTAGAACACATTCATCTCCCAGTGATAGTCAACCATCTCATTTGAGTCGGTCAAGTCCAATCATAACTTGAACTTCTTCCCCAGATTTCACTACCAAAAGTATGACGCTAATTGACAATCATCTTCCTTTCCTCCCGACCAAAATAAGTTAGGCATGTTCCAATGTGAATCATTCTCTTAAATGAAGCCAAGGTGAATCATTAACATTAGAACATTCTTGTGAAAGAAGCCAGAATAGGGAATATGATACATACTTTTCACTGTTCCAAACTCCAAACATCACATCACTACATCCGATCCCCTCTGTTTGCCGGCACCACCATTAAAGCACTATTTAAAAGCCAGCAATAATTCCTTGTACGTACGCCTGTTCAAGGCTATGCATTCGAAACAATTATGCATCTAGATTTTATCAGCAAGACATTCATCGAGGTAGCAGACAATTACCAAGAAAGCAAAAACAAATCCGATACAAACAAAGGAAAAGCATGTTCCTTTACCTTTAAGACTTTACGAAGCAGTACAGCAAACATCAATTGATCCGCCAGCCGGGGGTATATTATATGGTTTTTTTGTTTCCACGGATAGCTTCAAAATACAGAGGCAGAGAGGAATATACATTATTATCTTGTTGGTTTCCAGTCATTTGCTTTGTAATGACATGGGGATCCACTCATACCTTTCTTTTTGGAGTTTAGCTACCAGTTCGTGTAGCAGTTCCCGGCATCGCTGCCGCTAGCGTGCAGACAAATGGAGCCTTCGCTGCATCCCATGGCCTACCATTTCTTATCGCTAGACGTCAACTACTTTCCCCTGCATATAAAACCAACACATGACACTAATTAAATAGAAAGCAGAATCCTTTGGAGATGTTCTTCTCTATTTCATGAGATAAGAACTCTAATGGGGGAACAGGATAACAATGGGTTTGACGATGACCATCCCAAGACCAAGCCTGGTGCCTTCGAGATTGAGAAACCTGGCCATCTTCCTTCATTATCAGGTGGGTTTTCTCTATTTTCTCAAAACTAACACTGACAGCAAAGTTTCCAACTTTTTTCTTCTGGGTTTGGTGGGAAAGGCTACTGCTGCTGGTGTGACTCTGTTTCTCTTTTGGCAGAGGAAGAAGAGGTGAACGACAACCCGATTGAGCAAGTCCGGCTGACGGTTCCGATAACCGACGACCCGACCCAGCCCACATTGACATTCCGGACATGGGTTCTGGGGATAGCGTCTTGTGCTATTCTAGCGTTTGTGAACCAGTTCTTCGGTTACAGGACCAATCAGCTCTCTATCAGCTCCGTCACTGCTCAGATTCTGGTCCTGCCACTCGGCAAGTTGATGGCTGCCACGCTTCCCAGGACTGTGATTCGAGTCCCCCTCACAAAGTGGTCTTTCTCGCTGAATCCAGGGCCGTTTAACTTGAAAGAGCACGTTCTGATCACCATTTTCGCCAATTGTGGGTCAGGAGGGGTTTATGCTGTTCATATCATTACCTCAGTCAGAGCTCTCTACCATGGCAGCATCAGCCCCATTCCAGCCATGTTGCTGGTACAGACCACTCAGGTAAATTGAACTGAACCATCACCATCCTCACAAGCATATATGCATCTGATTCTAGAATACATGAATTTCGAGAAATCATATATTTGGTGTTTTTCAGTTGCTTGGATATGGATGGGCGGGTATATTCAGGAAGTTCCTGGTGGATTCACCTTACATGTGGTGGCCAGCAAACTTGGTCCAAGTTTCACTCTTCAGGGCATTGCACGAGAAAGAGAAGAGGTCAAAGGGAGGCCAAACAAGGCTGCAATTTTTCACCCTGGTTTTTGTATGCAGTTTTGCTTACTACATCGTACCAAGCTACCTCTTCCCATCGATATCGACCATATCAGTCATCTGTTTGATATGGAAGAACTCCATCAAAGCTCAGCAGATTGGATCGGGGATGAGTGGCCTTGGGATTGCCTCAATTGGGCTAGACTGGTCTACTGTTGCCGCCTTCTTGGGAACTCCCCTGGCCACACCACTGTTTGCCATTGTCAACACCATGGTTGGTTTCTTCATGGTGATTTACGTTATCATCCCGATCGCTTACTGGAACAATGCATACCATGCCAAGAAATTCCCCATCTTCTCCTCCAAGACCTTCGATAGTACAGGGCATCGATATGATATCGACAGGATTCTGAATAAGAAGACGTTTGACATCGACTATCCTGCCTACGAGAGCTATAGCAAACTTTACCTCAGTGCCACTTTTGCCTTTGTGTATGGGATGACTTTTGCTGGTCTCATGGCTACCATTACACATGTGATTTTGTTTGATGGGAAGTAAGTGAAACAAGAAGCAATTTTTCCATACTTGTACGGTAGATTGTGAAGAGATTGGTGGGAACTGATGTTTTATCCTGTTTGTGGGAAACAACAGAACAATTTGGGAGCTGTGGAAGAAGACTACAGGCGCGGTGAAGGACCAGTATACCGATGTGCACACGAGGCTGATGAAGAAGAACTATGAAGCAGTACCGGAATGGTGGTTCTTGATCGTCCTGGCTATCTCTCTCGCTCTGGCGTTTCTTGCAGTTGAAGGTTTCAACAGACAGCTACAGCTTCCATGGTGGGGACTCCTCTTAGCATGTTGCATTGCCCTTACCTTCACCTTACCAATAGGAATCATCCAGGCCACCACAAATCAGGTACTCAATCTACATCCACGAATTCTGGTGACGACTGATGCAGCCAACATTGCTACTATCTAATGCGTGCTTGGATACGCAGCAAATAGGGCTAAATGTGATCACAGAGTTGATTATCGGGTACATGTACCCCGGCAAGCCACTCGCGAATGTCGCTTTCAAGACCTACGGATACATCAGCATGGCACAAGCCCTAGGGTTCTTAGCAGACTTCAAACTCGGCCATTACATGAAAATCCCTCCAAAAGTCATGTTTGCAGTTCAGGTAAAACCCAATCGAAACCCTAATTACTGATTACTATGCCACAAACAACCTCCTCTACGCACAATTTCCACCCACATCAAGACATTCTTTTCCCCTCTTCCACAGACGGTGGGCACATTGGTGTCTTCAACAGTCTACTTCGGGACAGCCTGGTGGCTACTCTCATCGGTGAAAGACATCTGCAATCAGGACAACCTGCCGCCGGGGAGTCCATGGACGTGTCCCGGCGACAACGTCTTCTACAGCGCCTCGATCATTTGGGGGGTAATTGGTCCTCTCAGAATGTTCACCAACAAGGGGATCTACCCAGAGATGAACTGGTTCTTCCTCATCGGCGCGCTCGCCCCGGTACCCGTGTGGCTGCTGGCGCGGAAATACCCAGAGAAGAAATGGATCAAGCTGATCCACATGCCGCTCATATTCGCCGCCACGGCGAACATGCCGCCGGCGAGGCCCGTTCACTACTGGTCGTGGGGAGTGGTGGGGATCTTCTTCAACTACTACATCTACAAGAATTACAAGGGGTGGTGGGCTCGGCACACATACATCCTGTCGGCCGCCATGGATGCCGGCGTCGCCTTCTTGGCTGTGCTGATTTACTTTCTGCTGCAGGACAAGAACATCTACGGTCCGCAGTGGTGGGGATTGGAAGGGGATGACCACTGCAAATTGGCGACTTGCCCTACAGCCCCTGGAGTCAATATCACGGGTTGCCCTGTTTTCTAATTCTAGCAATGTGTTTTTTTTTAGCCCGCTGTGCTTTGACTTTCCACATCATATTATAGGACACATCTTAGAGGGGAAGAAAAAAACAAAGGGAATGAAATGCTAGGAGTTGAAGTTTTTGTTTCCTCTTCCATTCCAAGTTCCAACTGTTGTAAACTTGTAATCTTTTTTTAGTTTTTGAATAAAAGTTCACGTTCTAGCTTTTATCAGTTTGCAAGGAAGAAAAGAGGTTTCCTCACATGTTTTTTTATCAGCAATCGAGCTCCATCCACTATACTAACTCTGAAAAAGTGTGGTGTATTTTTTTTTTTTTATAATGATGGATATAAATTAACTAGAAGAAAAGGAGTACAAGAGTTCAGAAGACCTGAACCAAAAAGGAAAATACAGAGGGTGCGAGCAGAGAAAAGGAATGAAATGGAAAAAATAACTCCTCTGTAAGAGAGAATAGTCAAGAGAGAAGCACCCAGGAAACAGTCAGGCAGACGAGGCTACCCCTACTGAAACTGCAAAAGAAACAGAAGAACACAAAACAAAGCAAAACATTACATACGAGACAAGTAATCCTGGAGCCAAACAAAAGCTAAGTTCTTGTCGACTTTGTTGTGAGCAAATATCCAAGATATGACTGTCTTGGCAGCTTGTCGGGCAATGGCCTTAGCTGTTGAATGAGTGTGAGTGTCTCTGAATATACGCTGATTTCGTTGTAGCCAAATCAACCACAAAGTAGCATGAAGGATACAAAAGATAAATCAGTTTCCAACATCTCATAATCTATTTATTGTTATATTATACATTCCAATAAGTGTACAAATTTCCAAGTCACCAATTTGTAATAGGGCAAACGTTTTTGCTAGCAGATGGAACTCAAAACACGATTTAAACATCCGCTTAACCATTCCTACTAGCAATCCATTTGGGGAGTGCAAACATGCTGGTAGTTTATTTGTTACTTTATAATTATCCTAACGAAACCAACAATCTCGAGATCTTATCTCTCCTATATTCTAGGAAAATAGCTCGTGCCTCAGATGAGCTAGTTTGTTATTTTGCATTAAATTATTTTTGTACCGAGTGAAAGTTGGAGAAGGAAGTCAATTATCGAAAGTAAATATGAAATTAGACGAATGAAAAAAAAGGATAACCACCACTTGGATTTTGGAGTGCACAATACTAATAGCAAACGTCAACACTTACTACTACTAAAAGGGAGTGTATTTTGTTCGTAAACTTGCCTCACAAATCACAATTAATAATCGACGATTCTGATTTGTTGAAATACGTTCAATGCACTATCTAAGAGTTTAAGTATTAGAGTTTAGATAATTAGAACCCATTAATGGCGAGGGTGCCGAACCATATCCAAAATTCGATTGATCTAATTAACATTTTCTTACTGAAGGTATGCGACATTAATAGATTTACTATTGACACCATAGAAACCACCATACACATATCCGACAAATAAGGTAGTTCAGGATAATTGCAAAATTTTTATTTAAATAAAAGGATAATTGCAAAAACAAATATGGAAGATTAATCAAATTAAAAAGAGGATTTAAGAAAATTCCAGTCTAATGCCATTATTACATTCTAACCAGGGCACGTATCCACGCTATTAATTCAGGTGCTATATATATATTCACCTCCATGCCTCCATCGCTCTTTTGTATCAGTACTGTCTCTGTCGTTCTTTACTTCATTCTGCAGAAGCAAAACAAGAGTGATATAACCAGAAGAATGGCAGCCTCAAAACTTTTTGTTGTGGTTGCGGTGGTGTTAGTTCTGCTGGCGAGCGCGGCCGTCGACGAGGCTGTTGCGTCGCCGCGGCGACGAGTGGCAATTGGCGGCCCTGGTGGAGTATTTTGGTGCGATCCCAAGTGCATAAGAGCCCACCCCAAGGATCCTGACGGTTGTTGCACAAAACCAGCTCCGCTAGGGCTAGGCTCATAATATAATAGCTGCATGTATCCCTGAGTGCTTTGTTTACTTCCCTCCTCATCATATGATGGGGCTAGTGATGAGGTAAAGAAATCAGGGGAAACAATAAGGAAAATTGAATGCTTTCTTATATATATATGTGATTATGCCTCTCGATTTCCTCCTGGATGCGATGCATTATGTTTCACGAGCAAGATTTGATTCATGTTGCCAGTTTGGACTTTGGAGCAATAGAATTGCTGCTGAGGGCTCGATCCAGCTCTGTCACACTTTGTGATATACAGGGAGAGTGAGGCCTGTAAAACAAAGCTAACTTAATTAGGTGTTAGCGTCTGGATTTGTCCTCTGACTGACGATTAACAGGATCCAGGGCCGCAGTGGCGAAGCCAGGATTCAAACATACCTGTGTCCTCTTCTCAGAATATAAATTAATAAAATAAAAATTAATAAAATTGAAAATAAACAAGAAATAATCTTTAGTGTAGTGATATGATACTTATTCATTATCCAAAAAGTCAAGGGTTCAATACTTGATATAGGGCTCGAAGTTTGGTACCTGTATTTGGGATATACTGTATACCGTACCGAATTTATTACTATTAGGTATTATCGAATACCGGCTTATTTTCAGGAATTGGGATTGGGAGTCATTTTCAAGTGTTATTCGGTATTCGGGATTACGAGATTGGGGTCGGTTTATACCAAAATATCGAAAGTTAAAAATTAATGAACTATAGCACACAACCTTAGGTCATTCCTCACTCTTTCACAACTTAGAAGCCCCCATCCAACACAATTTTGACTTTCCAGTCTAAGTCACTCTCGTCTCTCGCCTAATCTCTTGTTATTTTCATAACTCCAAAAAACAAACACTAGTATTAGTCGTCTCTCAGCCTCCAATACGTCATATTAAAGATTACCAATGACAAGAATTTGAGATGTCGCCTCTCCTCCATTCTCTTTATCCATATCCTAGCTCTAGGCAAACTCAATACTCGTTGCTTAGTCTCTTTGCCCTAAATTAAATAATTAAATTAAATTTATATATTTAATTATTAACTGAAAAGGTAATTAATTTTGTATTCGATAATATCGATTTTGATACCAAATTATTTAGGGATTGAGATATCGAAATTATTCAGGGATTGAGATTGACATTAATTATAGGATGTAATTCGGTATTTAAGATTTCGGTATTGGTATTCCGATACCAAATACCGTACCAATTTCCACCTCTAACTTGATACACATATGAGTATTATTTCTCTACCCCAAATTTCACCTGTGTCCTAGGACACATCCAAAGTAGCCTGCCTCCGCCTATGCAGGGCCGTCCAATCAATCATGGAGCCCTATTCTAGTTCTAGAACTGAAGTAGTCTACTCTTTTTTTAAGTATAGTAAATTAAAAATGGTCGTTATTTAAAAAATAATTTGAAATAAAATTATGGATATTGAGGATGATGATGATTGAAAATGATTTCCCACTGAAAACAAAAATTAAAGAGGATTTATTGTGTCATTTTACAACACAAACAAGGCTTTTAGAACACAAATAAGACTTTACAAATGAATACATGCTTCGTTTATATATACATGAGAATATTGACCAATGACTAGCATTATTATTAATAGCATATTTAAATGCATCATCATAACTATAATCCATATCATACACTACAAGTCTACAACTCACCATATAATACAGTATTGGATCAATAATAGACCTACAAATGGAGGCCCTCTAATATTCGGAGATGATGTGCCGGAGGACCTCCCAGCACATCCCATTGACTGACCTTACTGAGTTGACCTTGGGCCCGTGCCAACAAATTTAATAGCATAAGGCCTCACAAATTTTGGGGTCTCCGTCCATTACTAATAGTTGCTAGTATTGTTTTCTTTGAATTCCTAGCTTGCTATTAATTTGAGATCATATCCCATAACTAGTAATTGGTACAGCCCATAAATTTTGGGACTTCAACGTTGGTTTGTTAGTCTTCTCGTTAATTTGTTGTTATACTCAGAAATTTTGTGACCTCTACTCATTACTAGTAGTTGTTACACCACATTTTAATTTGTTGGAACAAAACCTTCGAAATTTCAGGGACTATTTCACAATTAAATCAAGTCAAGGTACCTAAAAAGAAGAGAAGAACGAGAGGGAGAAAAAAAAAAAAAGGAGTAGAGATGATCCGTTTTTGTCTCGCATATGTAGAGAGAGAATTAATTGTCTTCCCATTTTGGAGCAAGAGACCCTTAACTGGGCTTTGATTATGAGTTGAAATATTGGGAGAAGGGCTTGACCCTTGACTCCATATGAATTAGGGTGGGCGTTTGGTCGGTTCGGTTCTAATATATGTCGAGTTTCCGAACTCATCAATACTTCAACCGAATTCGAACCGAAATATATTTTGGTTTGGTTTGTCTGAACCGAAATATATTCCGATTCGGTTCGGTTTGGTTTTAAGACCAACACCGAAAAAAGCTTTAGCATGGGGACTGTGTGGAGAATTGGAGAAATCCCTCCTTCCAACCCAAGTCCCACCCACCCCATCTCTCCATCTCTCTCATTTTCCCCTTCCACTCTCTCTCTTTCTCTCTCTCTTTCTCCCACCCACCCCATCCGCTTTTCTCTCTCCATCTCTGGTCACACTTTCCTCGTCGCCACCCAACTCCCTCCGCCGCTGAGGCCGAGCTCACAATCTTCTACCACCGTCGTCGCCCAACTCTCTCCGCCACCGAACTCGCTATCAACTACCACCGTCGTCGCCGACCTCCCTCCACTCGTCGGTTTCCCTCTCCCATCGCGGCCGTTCCAATCCTCGGCTCTCGCTGCTTGCATGTGGGCTGTGGCTGTCGACCTTCAAAATCAGTCGACACAGAGCTCGACGTAGCGGCGGTAGAGAGGCGGGATGCTCACGACGGCGATGGTCCTTCCTCCTTTCAGGCCGCCACTAGATCTGATGCCGGTAAAGCTCCGGGCGACGATAGATGGAGTGATAGATGTGGGGGAGGGAGGAGGGTGTCGAGCCGTCGCGACCGCGAGGGATTGCTGGTTGCAGACTGCGCGTGCCTCTGCTCTGCTCGTTCGTCGACAGAGACAACAGGGGACGGGAGAGTCGCAGCGGCAGCGGATTAGGGTTAGGGAAGGGAGGGAATGGAATTGGATTTGGGTGTTGTTGGGGAGTAGAGAAGGGTTCGGACTTAGTGAGGGCAGAGGAAGGGTTGGGCTTGGTGTAGTGGGCTAGTTGGGCTTAGGCCCT